TGTGTGTGTGTGTGTGTAATTTTGTAGAATATGATTGTGGTGGTATAGTGTGTTAGAATTATTTCATATTAGAATAGAGCATATTAGAATGATTTCTGAAGGATCATGTGGCACTGAAGACTGAAGTAATGATGCTGAAAACTCAGCGTTGATAACAGCAATCAATTACAGTTTAACAGATATTCACATAGAAAGCAGTTATTTTGAATAGTAGTAATATTTTACAATATGAATGTTTTTACTATATTTTTGGTCAAATAAATGCAGCCTTGGTGAGCAAAAGAGACTTCTTTTAAAAACACTGGAAAATCTTCATTTGTGTGGGTTTGTCTCAATCAAGGCTCAGCAGACGAGATGAGATGTGGCATGAACATGACAGAAATTATTGTACACTCAGAAATCTGACACTGACTGATGAGATCGCGGGTTATTTTGTGTTAGTTTAATTCCAGTCTCCATCTTGTCAGAGTGACTTAATTAGGAAGATTCTTGTATGTCATTTTATTTTGCAATACGAGCACATTCTGGTTGTTCTGGTTGTCTGTGTGCACTGAATCATTGCAGTAAAACAGCTGATTTTAGTGTTGCAGTGAAAACAGTCAGGATGCATCTGTCAGAGACGTCCTGACAGCCAGAACACTTTCAGAACATTAGCTTCTATCTCAAATTATGTTTCCAAACAGCTTTACTTAAACATAAACACACAGCAGTGTTCATTTGTGCATCAAAACACAGCGTTTGACTCTCGCAGACGGTAGAGAAAGCGTCCCTCAGTGAGTTTCACCGACAGCAGCACAAGCGCTTTATATAAACCCATCAGCAGAGGTCATGAGAGCTCAACTCCTCTCGCACACCAACACAGTGCACTTGTGTCAATTCACCCTCCCTCACTAGTGTGCTACTGCTTTAGACACTCAATTTCATAATAATATTTCACAATATTGCCTATTACGATATTACCTCCGCTGTGTGCATTAAGGTCTTATATTCTTGTAATGCATGTGTGTATGTTTGTGTGGGTGTATATTTTATTTATTGTGTTATTATTTTAGTATCATTAAGATACTATTATAGTTTTTATTAACATTTTGAGTTAGTTTTTAAATTTTTTGTGTTTATTTTAATGTTAATGTTTTAGTAAATTTGTTGTGTTTTTGTCATTTTTCTATCTTTAAAAAACTATCTTTAAATGTGTGTGTGTATTTATTATTTATAATATTGTTTTAGGACCACTGAAATGCTATTATATTTATTTTTATATTTTAATAGTCTTCATTTTAATTTGTAAGTGTAGTAATTTTAGTAATTTTAGTTTTGTCATTTTTATTATATATATATATATATATATATATATATATATATATATATATATATATATATATATATATATATATATATATATATATATATATATATATATATATATATATATATATATATATATATATATATATATATATATATATATATATATATATATATATATATATATATATATATATATATATATATATATATATATATATATATATATATATATATATATATATATATATATATATATATATAGTTATATATAGTTATATACAGTTATATATATATAGTTATAATATTTTATTAACAAGAATGTAGCTTAAAATATTTAATTATTTATTTAATTTAAAACAAACATTTTGTTTATACATTTTGTTAGAATAATTATTTTATATAACAATTTTTTGTTTATTTTTTAATATGTATACTATGTACATTCATATGTTTTTAATATATTGAATATATTATTGTTCATTTATTTGTAAATTAAATTGGCCAGAATTGGTCAAAATATTTGCCATTTAACAGAATTTTTAGTTCCTTAGGAGAAAATGCTGACTATGGCAAGGTAATACCAAATGTTAGTGGCTTGTGCAAAAAAAAAAAAATACAATGTACTGCATATGTTTCTTCACCATCTTTGGTGTTCTTCTAATTGGCGATCCAGTGAACCGTTGTCAAACCCGAGCGGCTTGGAAACACTTTCTGTTTAAGCAGCCGCTCTGGTCTCTGTCTTCCCTGCAGGTGCTGTCGCTGGGCGCTGACGTTCTGCCGGAGTACAAGCTCCAGACGCCGCGCATCCACAAGTGGACAGTGCTGCACTACAGCCCGTTCAAGGCGGTGTGGGACTGGCTGATCCTGCTGCTGGTGATCTACACGGCCATCCTCACGCCGTACTCCGCTGCCTTCCTGCTCAACGGAGACGAGGACAGCTCCGGGCAGAACTGCAGCTACTCCTGCAGCCCGCTCAACGTGGTGGACCTCATCGTGGACATCATGTTCATCATCGACATCATCATCAACTTCCGCACCACTTACGTCAATGCCAACGACGAGGTGGTCAGCCACCCGCTGCGCATCGCCGTGCATTACTTCAAAGGCTGGTTCCTCATCGACATGGTGGCTGCCATTCCCTTCGACCTGCTCATAGACCGCACCGGGGAGGAGCTGGGTGCAGAGGTGAGGGGGATCATGGGAAATGAGGCTTTGAAGCTCTTATCTGTGCTCCAGCTGCCATTTTCTGCTGCATATGCTGTCAGCTCTTATGATAAATTGCTTGCCATGTTCATCTTTTGTATTCTTATTTCACACTTTAAATAAAAGTGTCCGCTAAATGAATAAGGTTTCTGCAGGTCTTAAAAAGTCTTAATTCAGCAAATTCATTTCTTAGAAAGGTTTTAAATCAGAGCGGAAAGTCTTAAATTCATAGTCATGCCATTAAATGTTGCATGCTCTGCATAATGAATATTTATATTTTTGTCTTGCTTTTCAATGCAAACATCTAAACATCCTTAAATCAAGATACAGTTACTTGAGATTCATAAACTCATGTCATGTTGATAATTTTTTCATAAAACAAGACTTATCTTATTCTTCACAAGTAAATGCATCTTGATTTAAAAATCTTTGGACATTTTCACTGGAAAATACAGAGGAAGATCATCACTTAAATTCGTAAAGTCATGGCGTTAAATGTTGCATGCATTGCTAAAACTGATTTTTGTCTTTTTTCCATTACAAATTTTTTAACATTGTTAAATCAAGATATATTTACTTGAGAAGCAAAATGAACGTATGACGTCTTGTTTTCTGAGAAACTGAATAAAATGAAATCAGTTTATGCTTAAAACATGAATGAAAACTTGTTTCCCTTTGAATGAAGTTGATTTTTCTGAGACCATTGGCTGATCTATAAAGGTCGTAAATCAGAGCGGAAAGTCTTAAATTCATAAAGTCATGGCATTAAAATGTTGTATGCACTGCTAAAAAAATATGAATATTTTTTTCATATTTTTTTTTCTTAATTTAACATCCTTAAATCAAGATATATTGACTTAAAAAATGAATATATGAAGTCATTGAACAAAATGAAATGTTTATGCTTAAAACATTGGGGAATGAAAACTGTTTCCCTTTGAAATAAGTTGATTTTTCTGAGCTCGTTGGCTGATATTTGTTATTTTTTATTCATAACTAACGCCATTTTGATTTGTCATTCAGTTTCACATAAAACAAGACATATCTTTTGTAATTTAGCTTCTTAAGTAAATACATCTTGATCTAAGAATCTTTAGACATTTGCACTGGAAAACAAGACAAAAAAATACTGTAATTTCTAGATTCTAGTGTTTGGGAGTAGAGCTATTCAAGCACTAAGCTATTTTATTTTATTAATTTATTTATTTATTTTGTATTTATTTGTTTATTTATTGGTTGTAAAATTAATAATTAAAAAGTATTAGATATTGTAAAATGAATTAAATTAGATATTGTAAAATGAATTATTACTGTGAAGTGTTTCTAACTTGCTAATTCAAGACATTGTGTTCCTTAAAGGGATAGTTCATCCAAAAATGAAAATCCTGTCATCATTTACTCACCCTCAAGTTGTTCCAAACCAAATTAATTTCTTTCTTCTGCTAAACACAAAGGAATATATTTTGAAGAATGTAGGTAACAAAAGAGTTGCTGGTAGCCATTGACTTTTCTTAGTATAGAAAAAGATACTATTAGAAGTCAATGGGGTGAACGAGTAAATGGTGAGAGAATTTTCATTTTGGGATGAACTGTCCCTTTAAAATGTCTTGACTTGGTCTTAAAAAGAAACCTGGAGAAACCCTGCTATCTGTTAAATCTGTCACTTTGTTTGTTTTATTTTTTTTTTAGCCAACTCAGCAGACCACCCTGATCGGGCTGCTCAAGACGGCGCGTCTTCTGCGTCTGGTGCGAGTGGCACGTAAACTGGACCGTTACTCTGAGTATGGCGCGGCCGTCCTCTTTCTGCTGATGTGCACGTTCGCTCTGATCGCTCATTGGCTGGCCTGTATCTGGTTCGCCATCGGGAACGTGGAGCAGAACCGCTCCATCGGCTGGCTGCATGCGCTCGGCGTGGATCTGGGCAAACCACACAACAGCAGCATCAGGGGATCGGGACCCAGCATCAAGGACAAATACGTGACTGCTTTATACTTCACCTTCAGCAGCCTGACCAGCGTGGGCTTCGGGAACGTGTCGCCCAACACCAACTCCGAGAAGATCTTCTCCATCTGCGTCATGCTGATTGGATGTGAGTATGTTTCGCTGCTTAAGGGTCTATTAAGGATAATAGAATAATTTCTAAAAATCTAGATTGAAAAGCTCTTAGAAACACAATGATTGCATTCATGTTTGTTTCTGATTTTGTTTCAAAAATTCCTAAAAATGTAGTATAACAAATTACATTTTTTCTTTATTTCAAAAAAGAAAAAAATGATTTTACAAATTTCATGAATTTTTAAATCAAGAATATCATGATTTTTTTCTTTCAAATTATGTTTTTTTCTGATATTTCTAAGACCTTAAAGACACACTTTCTGTGATTATATACATAGCAAAAAATGTTGTTAAACTGCATTTTTAAATTTTATATATAAATATTGACATTTCATATAATTATTTATTTTTATTTTTTTTAATTCAGTGACCTGACAACAAAATTATTTCCCTTAAAACTAAATCTGAAAATAAATGTTAAATTAATCTAATAAAATACCTAAAACTAAAACATAAGTAAAATGAATAAAAACGACATATACATGTTTAATAATAATAATAATAATGACAAAACACACAACACAATTACTAAAACTTTCAAATTAAAACTACAGTATATATACTTCTGTGAATACTATTTCTTATAATAATTTTTAGCATTTTGTCTAGCCTTTTTTCTATGTTATGATCTGAATCTGATGATAATGAACTTTGTTCCAGACATTGAAAACATTCATCATAAAATAGGGACATTGTGTGTATAAACTGCATCTTTTTTATTAATTTTTAATTAACTTAATAGATCCGCAGAAAACAAATCAAGCATAACTGAGCCATTAAAGCATGTCTGAGTGTTGACCTTCATCCTGAGTGTCTTGTAGTTCAGATTAAAGCTTCATTAGAGATGCGCGTGTTTGTTCTCTAAGCCGGTTTATAATAGAGCTCGTTTTATTGTGCACTTTATGATCAAACCTCATCACATGCTGATGAAATGTCCTCCCTTTTTAATTTTTGGCGAACAAATCAATCTGATAGCTCGTTTTTGTAGGCCCTGATCGCAGCAATTAATGATAAATTGGCAAGTTAATATTACTGCCGCACATATATTTGACCTCAATAACCATGAAGTAATTTCCGTTTTTATGGCTGGTAGAAGCATTTATCATCGGTGCTGCAGAATTACATTTTGGAAAAGGGCGAAAGTTCAAAAGGAGAAGATCAGCATGACCTCTTCGATCTGCTACAAGATTCATTACATTCAACAGCTGAAGTCAGCAGACTGTAGTGATCAAACTCAATATTCACCATTTAACAGCTGAATGACTGCAAAAAGCCTCATTTAATCATATTTTCTTCTGTTTTTACTGCATGTAATGGCTTTGTTTCTGTTGTGTGTGTGTGTGCGTGTGTGTGTGTGTGTGTGTCTGTGTGTGTGTGTGTGTGTGTGTGTGTGTGTGTGTGTGTGTGTGTGTGTGTGTGTGTGTGCTAGAATGATTCTCAAAAAAATCTGCTCCAGCAATTTAATTTTATTTTGTTTTATTTATTTTAATTATATTTATCTTTTATTTTACATATTTGTAAAATAAAAGAAATATTTTTTAAATTAATAAATTCTCATTTCTGTATTTTGATTTTACATATTTTGTTTGTTTGTTTTAATTTCCAATGGTGGTTTTCATTGTTTTAATACAGCAGTTTATACTGTATGACCAAGGCTGTAATACAGCGTTTTCTTTACTAAAACCATAAATTAAATGCAGTTTAACCACTATACAGTTTAAATAATTTTTATTTTTGTCTTACGATAATAAGAACTGGGTGGAAAAATAATAATAATTTTTTATTTTTATTTAATATTTGTATATTTTTAATTTAATTAATAATAATAATAATGTTTTTAATTATCATGAAAATCATGTCACAGTGTAAATAATCTTATCACAGTGTAAAATGGACCTAAAGACTTAATTTGCATTATGCAAAATCAAATTTCTTATTTCTTTCTTTTAATTTTTATGGTGAAATTAGGGCTGGACAATAATTCAATATCAATATGTATCGCA